CTGGGGGGCATCTCTGTCTTACCCCCAGCCCCGTTCGGAAGCTCTCCGTCGTTTGTTCGCCTGTTAACACCTTGCTTGTCGTGTTTTCGTAGATTAGTTTAACCATTCTCAGGAATTTTTCCCCCACCTCCATTTTCCTCATTTTTCCCCACAGCTTTTCTCTATTTACCTTGTCAAAAGCCGCTTTGTAGTCTATAAAGGCGGTGTATAATTTCCCTCCTTTGACCTTGAGCCTGCTCCTTACCAGTGTGTTCAATACCATTATGCCTTCTGTAGTGCTTCTTCCTTTCCTAAACCCCATCTGCGCTTTTGTCAGCTTTTTCTTTCTGTCTAGCCAGTGTCCGAGCCTTTTGGCCATAACTGTTGTCAATAATTTCTAGCCGAGGCACAGTAGGGAGATGCCTCTGTAGTTTTTTGCCTCGCTTGGGTCTCCTTTTTTGTATATTGGGTAGATTATCGCTGTTCTCCATTCTTTAATCATCTTCTCTTCGTCCTATAGTTATTTCACAATCTCCATGAGTTCCTTTCTCCCTGTCTCTTTGGATAGATCCTTCAGAAATTCCGCTTGTATCTGATCCGCGCCCGCTGCCTTCCCATTCCTCATGTTCTTGATTGCTCGTTGTAGCTCAGATTCTTGTATTGGTGCGCCTATATCCTCCCATTCCGCCTCTTCGTCTTCCGTCTCTGTTTCTCTTTCTCCCTCTCGCGTCTGTCAAGTGGCTATTTCGTCTTCTTGCGGGTCTTCCACCGCGTTTTCCTCCTCTTCAGTCCCTTTCTCCTGTGTCTCGTTTTCTGCACCCAGTAGCTCCTTGCAATGGTTCAGCAAATTCTCTTTTTTAACCGGGTTCTTGGCCCTCTTTTTACTCTTCCTGTACCAGGACATGGCCTTTCACCATTCTGTTAAATTTCTGCTCGTCGCCACCAGTTTTTGTTTTCCGTCCAGTCACTTTCTTATCAGGCTCTCTCTTAGTGTGTTCAGCTCTTTTTTACAGATTATGTATTGTCTCCTGTTGTGCCAGTCTCTATTTTTATTAAAAATGGTGAGTTTCTTGAAGAGCTCCTTTCTCTTTCTCTTGTACTCTCCATTGTCCTATGTTTCCATTCTGCGTTTCTTCACTTCTCCACTGTTCACCATGTTTATAATCCCTGCTGTCTCCTTGATTGTTTTCTCTAGGTTTTCCCATCGTTCTTCTACTTCTAGCTCCTGAGCGGTATTCCTCTCTGTTGTGCTCGATACCCTGTTCCATTCGTCTGCATATGCCTGTGCCAGCTCCGCCTTCCATCTTAGCCTTCCTCCTGTATGTGCTGAGCTGGGGAATTCCTCTGCGTCACCTTCCTTCCATTTTACCTTGAGGAGAACCGGGAAGTGGTCCGATCCCTCCTGTTCCAAGACTTGTCAGCTCTTTACCCAGCTCGGAATTCCTTCTTCCTCCACCAGGTCCACTGAGACCAAATCCAGAACGCTGCCCAGTCTTTGGCTATCTCCTAAACATGTGATTTTCCCCTCCTTATCGCCTTCAACTCTCCCGTTCAGTACTATCTTTGTTTCGCCTTGCACCAATCCATCAGTTGTTTGCCTTCACCTCTCCGCAGCTTATCTTGTGAAATCCTCTCTGGTATTCTGTTTGCTTCCATGCCGTACTCTGGTGTTCCCTGCTCCTCTCCGATTCTGGCATTCAGATCCCCTATTATTATTCTTCTGTTTTCTGTCTCTGAGAGTTCCATTTTCTCATCAATTTTCCTCAGGACGTTCTTCAAATTTCCTCCTCGGCTGTTATACACTGTCCAGATTTCGTAGTGGTTCTCTTCTGCTGCCTGTCCATCTCTTCCTATGATCCTTAGGCCATACTCCCATTCTGATACGTTCCAACTACCCCCACATCTCCTCTTCACCCCAACTATTTGTCCACCAGCCGCTCTTCCTCTCCGGTGTTTTTTATTCGCCGCCTTGCCGTGCCATATAAAGTTGTTGTTTAGTTTTTCCAACATTTTCTTCATTTGCTTATCCACCAGATGTGTTTCCTGCAGTACCACCACGTCCGCTTTTTCCCACCACTCCTTGTTTCTCCCCACATTCTTTATCCCTCGTGTGTTCCATTGGATGATTCCCAGTTCATGCGGAGCTTCTTCTCGTGTCTCCTTCTCGAAATCTCTCCGCTTTCCTCTCGCTGCTATTTTTCCAGAGCTTCATTCCATGTTGCTCCTCGTCCCAAGTAAGCCAGTCCCCTTCCACATTTAGTTTTTGGAATCCTATCCTGGTAGATTTTCCGGCCTCTCCCCATTTGGAAGCTTGTTTCTCAATTCAGGACTGGATGAGCTTTTGTCTCTCTGTTATGTCATCGAAAATCCAGACTGGCGAGTGGAGATGTTTCAGTTCCCTTTTCTTTTTCAGTATCCTTATCTTGCTGTTCATTTCCTCTAGCTTTACTCTCCATCCGTTCTTTCCATCTATCCCTTCCATTCTCTCCATCTTGTCTACTCTCACCTTTTCTTGTAGGTTCTCCAGGAACCAGTCCTCCATAGCCTCTTTCTTCTGCTTCGTTCTTAGTTCCAATCCTCTTATTTTGATCCATTTACGCCTTTCTCTCCTCTCCTTTTTCTCTTCATCCCGCTCGTCGGGTTCTAGTTTCCTTGGGAAGTCTTCTTGGATTTCTTTTGCCAGGTCTTCCTGGACCTCTTTTGCCTGCTCACCCTGCTCACCCTGCTCTTCGTTGTGCTGGGTTCTGTACTTTGCCCCTCTCTTGTCCTTTTCCCCGTGACCTATTTGTGGTATCTCGTTCGCGTCCCCGACCCCCGACGGCCTCCTCAGGTTTCTCAGGTCACTTGCACACCCCGTGGCATGAGCTGAGGTCAGTCCTTCATTGGGGTCTGACTCTGCAGGGCTATTTAACCTGTCCCCGTCCCTTACGTGTCTCTCGACCCCTCTCTTCTCTCTTTCGAATTCCTGCCCCAATTTACTCCTCGTTTCCTGTGCTCTTTTCTGCCAGATGAGGGCCTCGTTTCTCCAGAAGTTTGACTGAGTCTTACCTTTCGTTATCTCCGCTTGTGCCTCCTCCAAATTTCGTCTCAGCGAGTCACAGTTTGTACATTTCATGTGCTGTCTTTCTGTGTGTCCGCGTTCCCTATTAAACTCTCTTCTAATCATTTCTTCCAGGGTTATGAAAACCTTTTCCCATTTCTCTTCCTCGAATTCATTTTGTTTTTTGGTTCATTTTTCCCATTTCTTCTCCATACGCCATTCCAGCTCTTCCCAGTGTTCCATCTCTTTTGTTTTGCTCTCACCTGTTTCTCTGTTGATTTTTTGACGGGTCTCACCTCATCATTGTCGCTTCCGCTCTCAGAACAGCTCGAGATCCCCAGTACTGTCACCACCGATTCCTCACTTTCTTCATCCTCTTCGCCCTGCGACAGCGCCTGTGTGTCCACGTTTCTCTCACTTGTTGCTCTTTTTGTTTGCTCTATCTCCTCTCCATTCCCCTCTCTCTCTCTGCTTCCTCCTGTTTCCCTCCATCTTTTGCCTTCATCGGGCGTTCTGGCCAATTGTTTTCCACTCGTGATTTTTGCATTCCTCGGTGGAGTGTCGCTCTGTATTTGCGTTTCTCCTCCTTCCTGAACAGGCCTTTCCTCAGTTTCTCTTTTTTGTTTTCTTTCTTTGTCCAGTCTGTTATCTTCCTCTTTCTCTCTTCTCCGGTGTCTGGAGATTTTTTTTCCTTTGATGGTGTTCTTGGACCCTGGGGGTCTGCCTCTCCCTCTCTTTGCACCAAATGATTCCCCCTTGGAGAGGTCGTTGTCGCGCTCCATCTTACCTCTACGTCACTTCCTCTATTTTCCTTCTCTAAGACCTCACTCACTCCCTCCCAGCGCCTTGTGTTCTAACCTCCAAGTTGCAATCCTTGGACTGTCCCACACTTTTCTCGTACACACTCACTACTATCACCGCAAAATTTTCTTTGTACCCCTGCGGCTAGGTTTCTGCCTTACTTTTAAACACTTTTTCGACTCGAATCTTTTAATTTGATATCAAATTCTTTGCAAATCAGCTAGAGCTACGCTCGCACGAAACACACTCTACCGTCCGCCAACTCATTATTAAATTAATTTAGCGATTAAACTATGTTGAAATCATTTATCATGTCTATAAACTGAACAATAAAATGTTTGAATAGAAAAAAAAATGGAGACGTTCAGAATTGCGCGGTAGACTAGGGATTAGGGGGGAAGGATTAGTAATCGTTAGATCGTAGGTTCAAACCCTACTTGGGTTGTAATATTGTAGGTTACCAAAATCGAGTTTTTCGCGATAATTGTGTAAGGGTTGTGTAGGTAAGGCCTAATTAATAATAAAAATCATCTCTAAAAGTGTTAATTATTTTATTTTTGTTTTCATTTAAAATTATTATTGATAATTATCATATTGTGGCAGCCATATCGGTTGTGAATTTTATTCTACCCTTGAACCCGTCGCGAATGCTCAATAACAATGTTTAATTACTTGCATTTCAACTACACATAATATATTATTTTGTGATTGGTATTTAAATCAGCCTGACCAACAACTGGCAGTCAATGCTGGTCGAAGTTCGACCCCAGACCTGGCCCGATGTTATTATTCCATTGTTGAATCAAGTTCGTACGCGATCGCGGCTAAGAAATGGTCCCCAAACCTTGGTAGTACGGTCACCGAGATCGGCCCGGAATTGGCCCGGATTTGGCCCATTTTTCTTTTCGAACCTGGGTATACCTCCCAAATTCAAAAACTTGAAAATCACTATGCAAATATACTATGAATCGTATGATGGGTTAAGCGTAAAGGTCATGATTCCATGTACGAGGTGCTTCCATTCCCCTCACTCTACTACGATTAAGCTATTTTTGAATTTGTAAAGTTTCTGCGGTTTGCCATTTACTGATCAATACATGATACGATTCTCATCGTCCAATTATTTTAAAGGTTCATTAGATTTTATGAATTATAGCTAATGTATTTTTTCTCTATTTAGATGACGATGGCTACTGGCGTTATCTCAACCAAACCAATTCTCGTCCGCCTTCAGATGTAGACAGTACAGCCGCCACAACAGTCCTTGATCCAAATTCATTCTTGATGGAGTCTATTTCCTCAAATACTCAATGGAAGTATCTCGAAAAATCCACTGACAATGTACCTCACCGCATTCTGAGAAACCCATCGAGATCATCCCATTCATCACTAATAGAAAGTTTTGCTATGAAGAGGTCTCTTGAAGACCAGTCAGCCTCAGACTCTGAAGTTTCGGTAGAAATACGAAAGAAACGACCCCTGCTGCGACCACGACGAAAAACAAAATTAGAAAGTGCTTTCTCTATTAACTCATCAGATTCCCTAATAGACTTAAATGCCCCTCCGTCATCCGACAAAGACAAAAAAACTAAAATCTCTCCAGGAAAATCTTCTCAAATACAAATTCGGCAGGCATACCCTCAAGATTCAAACACGAGTTTGGAATTTCAGGAAGTGGAAAAGAGACGTCCCCTGTTGCGAAGTCAAACGTCGGAGCAGTTGGATCACGGCATGTCTACGTCGAACAATTCTATGATTCTCGCTTCTCAAGAATACAGAAAAAGCATTGTCAGACCTCGATCCACTTTGTTGAGCAGATCGGCAGGGAGGATAGAAACTAAAACAATTGTCGCAACCGGAAATGACTCACAAAAGGGGTCCTCTAGTGACACAGACTCTGATGAACTCATCTCTCAACCCAGGAAGATCTTTGGTCGTGTGAGGTTTAAAGTATCTGAAAATCCTTTTATTGGGATTCTTGATGATACAGAAAATGGAGATCAAACTGATATACATTCACCTAAAAAAAATAGCAGGAGCCAGAGTAAGAAGAATGATTCTGATGATTTTGTACTCCATATAAGTTCGGTGGACACTGAGCAGAAGTCGAAGGAGTTGACAAAAGTGCATAATGTTGAACCGGCACCAACCGATGATACTCAACTTTCGGAATCGAGCATTTCAGAAGATTTGAAGGTCAGTCGACCGAAATTATCTGGTGATAACGATGGAATGTTGTCGCAATGTAGCTCAGAGCCATTTGAAAGAATAAAACCATCCCGTGGAGATATTGGAGCCGGTACGGAGGATACTCTGCCAAAAGAAAATGTCATCGAAATTCAAAGACAGAATGATTCTGGGCCGTCTGAAATATTAAAAGAATTTTTTACTGAGCCGGCGCTATCTGTAAGTAGGCTGTCCTCGCTTTCAAAAAGACCAGGAGACAGTGAAGAAGAGGTTATTGTATCAAACGGTACAAATAGATCGACACGCCGTTTGAAATCAATGCACCTTGAAGTTCCCGCATCGCCAATAATATCGGGATCAGTGTCTCAAGATATCGAAAATCATGAAAGAATTCCTGATCACATAATTATAGACGACAGACATACGAGAGATGAAACGTTTTCAGGTAAGTCATTGAGGCTCACACGATCATCTCGCAAAGTAGTTTCATCAGATTCCGACGAACTAGATATCATTGGTAGAATTCAAAATAAAGCAATTGGTTCCAGTATACTAAGAGATTCGCGATTAAATGGTCAGAGTGCACAAGGCCAAATCCAATCGGATACTGAATTAGACGTTGAAAGAGTCACTGACAGCGAATCTGTTTCGGCGTTGAATAAATCCGACGGTTCGAGCTCGGAAATCCCTTTCCTGCGCACGGACAGCAATGCCGACAATAGAGAACTACTTACGGAGCCCATTAAAAACATGACTAATGTGATTATTCGTCCGGGTCCCAAATCTTCCAAAACGCCTATCAAGTCCTCAGAGTCGCCTGCCCACAACTTTAGACAAATTCCAAGCTCACCACGAGCAAAAGTGACAGAGATGATCGTTGAAAAGAATCACGACACATTAGTTCATCCAGCTTCTAGTGGTGCAACATTCTTCTTAAAATCTATTCTAAATGAACAACAACAGCTACAAAAATCCGCAAACGCTGAAATATTAGAGGAGGCTGAACTTCAGAAGCGTCCAGGTCCGAAGTCGTCAAAAAAATTGCAAAGGTCTTTGCAATCAACCTCAAAACGTTTGAACATTGGAAAAAAATCAGTAGAACATCTCGCTGCTTCTCATAAACCTCAACCAATCGATACTGAGACGGAAAGTCTCTCTGAAATATTTTTAGATAAAGCCACAAGGAGATCCCATCCATCTCTTTATGCACTTCCAGATAAGGAGCGAAGTCCTTCAATTAGTATGTCAGAGTCTGATCGTGAAACTGCAGAGTCATCGCTTCCTATGAATCTTACAAGGCAAACAAATCAAGTCAGTCTTTCTATGTTTGATACGCAAACTCCTCGTATAACTAAAGGAACATACACAGGACGAAAAAACCAATCGAAAAATGAACACCAACAGACTTTAATTAAAAAAGTTCTGTCTACAATACTACCTCCAAGGAATTTATCATCTTCTCCGAGCTTTGTTGCTCCCGCTAGAAACGATGACCACACAATGCCAATATCGAATTCGAGTGAAATGGAATCAACACCCGCAAAATCACGTAAAGTCGTCAAAAAGATGAAAAGGTTTTCGACTCGTGACTTAAAAGAGAATCAGAAGTTTACACAGTCAAAGATTGATACCTTCATGCATAATAAAAATGAAGTCTCTCAAAAACTCCAGAATTCAAGTGTTCTATTCAATTCAGAAGAGTTTAAAAGGAAGATAAAGGAGAGTAAAAAAATTCTTGACGTTATAAGAGCTAGGGAGGAAAAGCCTGAGGATCAACAAACTGTGAAAAAAGAAAAGGAAGAGATAAATATGGTAACTCGTTGGAAAGTACAGGGTATAGGAAAAAAACCTACGAAAACTGTGGATAGGGCTTTCATTATTAATGGCAAAGTCTATAAGAGACCCACACTTCCTAGACCTAAACATTGGGCCACCAATAAGCTGTATAAATTTCTCTGGAAGAAGATGGAATCCAAATTTGGAGAGCATGTGAGAGTTAAATCGGAGAAATTCGTTGTTGAACTCAATGAAGTGATGATTGTTATTATGAGGAGGAAGAAGTATGATAACTATAAGGAGGAATTGACAAGTTTGTTAAGGAAAATGGCTCAATTGGGAATTATTGAGACAAGACTTGATTTCCATAGGTTTTGCTTTGATTTCTTACCTTTTGAATTTAGGATTAAAGTAGTACCCATGTTGCGAGCCGGAAATACTCATAATATTCCATTCGAGCCTGAAAAACTGATAGAGCCTGTTCTAGCATAGAATTTTGTGAACTTCATACTATTCAATTATTCACTTCCTTAATTTTTCTTATCCATCGAAAGGTACAAACTTCGAACGCATTGCATTTCACCAATATTTCTTTCGTTATTTATGTATGAAAAATGAAATTAAAAATATACGTTTGTCATAAACTTACTTTATCCTTTCTTTATTTTATGCATTATTAAATGAAAAAAATGTCAAAATAAAAATAAATTCTGTGATCAGGATTTGCTACTACTATGAAGATTGAATATTAATTGACACAAATATTAACCGTTTAGCCGCTGATCACCCGAAAGAGAGACTATGGTACTAAAACAATATATTTTCCCAATAATTATTATACGATAATAGGTTTTGCCTAATGACCGTCGGTTATGCCCCAGAAATACAATTAATTAAGAAATAGTATTAGGTAATTTCTCATAATATGAGGACACGCGAAGTGGCACATATTATCAAAAAAACATGTCATCAGACAATGTTGAAATATAAACTAACCCGAATATTTGTGGAGTAAGCCCACATATAATCGTCATAATGTGGATCACTGGGGTGCAGTGTCAGCACTTCGCCCCATCAACGGCTATGGCCTTTACGTACACCTGGGACGTCACCCGATGTCTCTCCAGGTGTAAAACAAAGACAGAACACCTGCTGCAATCGAATCCACGATGAAATATAAGCTCGTGAATTCGTTACCACTGGAGCAGTTAGTCAGGTTGTCAGACACAGACAATTAGTAATCCGACGATTCGTTAAGTCACTTTCTTGTAACTCGTATTGCCTGATATTTACAGCATTAGTCAAAGACTATATTTATTTAATAAATCGTTTAATCGCTAAAAAGTTGAATCTCCCTCAGAGATATTAATTTCTAATTATCTACGAGTGATCTATCCCTATCATCGAACCCAACCGCTCGGGTCTATAGCACTTTTGAAGGAAGCTGTGTACAGTTGGAACCCCACATCAACCGATTGAAAAATTTGGCTGCATATTCGAAGCAGATTGGCGCGCAGGGGATTGTAATTAATATATAGTGCCTCTAGGGAGTAAAGTGTTTTCTGAGGAAATGTGAAACTCTCGCTTTCAGCTTGGGTTATAATCACATGCGTATAATGGCTTTGCTCGGTTAGATCGCATTTTCCATTCCCTAAGGGAATAAAATTAATTGATCGTTTGTAATCAAGTCATTAATCTATAATGCATTTTTTAAATACTATATGGACAAAATTAATCGATAGGTCGTCGGACAATTGGCTTTCTAAGACGGAATGATTTGTAGTTTATTGTATTAGAAGCAGTATATGTATTCATAGATCATCATCATTCAAAGTTTCTTTTCTTTTTGCGGAGTCAACAGAAATATTGTTCTAGGAAAATCTGCATAGCATTGTCCTGCTTTGTTATATGAATGAGACACTCCCGTAATTTCCATCAGTCTTTAAAAAAAAGTTTCTGAGTGCTAAAAAATCGTTTTGAATAAAACTCTTTTTATGAAAATGGATTCATCACCTTATTTGAAACTAATCGAAACCATGAAAGAAGCTTATAAGCTATGTGAAAAACAACCGTGGGAAGAACAAGAGAAATGGTTGAAAATTGGTGGAAACTGGTTGAGGAGATTGAATAAAAGCGTGAGAGTTAAGTGGAAGTATTCTATGGCTTATAAATTGAGAATACAAACAACGATCGCGCGTTTACATTCTTTGATTAAAAAATTGAAATGCAGGCAAAAGAATGGTGGTACAATTAATTCTCCCAAACAGCGGAATGTATGAAGTCAGAGGGTGCACTGGCAAGATCTATTGTCAGCATATGAAGGTAGAATCAGAACTGGAGTTGTTATTAACCTCATACATACAGATTTAAAATCCTTCCTCAACGATGCGAAATTTCTAATTTGTACTCGTATAAAGAATGCGTTACTGAAAGAGGGGAATTGAAAAGTTAATTTTATCTTAGCTTGCGAGTATGAGAATTGGAAGCATGAGCAAACACTGCATGAAACTAAATATTTCAATACTCGAAATACTACCATTCCACCATCTCATGATATTAAAGAATGGTTCGAAGGGGATATTATTAACAAATTATTAACCAACGTTGAGGAGTTCCAGGAACGCGATTCAGGATGGACAAAGATTGAGATAATTGACCTTACACTCCACATTAATAGATATGAACCGTTGCAGAGAGGTTCGTCTACGTATATTGATCTCCCACCGAAAATACAAAAGAAAAAGACTGTAGTCAATATAAAAAATTCCGACGAATTTTGCTTTTTATGGTGTGTAACAGCAGCGCTCTATCCTACTGACTATCATAGAGATCTGATTAGTTCGTACCCTCACTTCAGTACAGTTTTGAAGTATGATGGTATTGAATCCTCTATGAGTCTCAAGCATATACCCAAATTCGAGCAAATGAACAATCTTTCCATCAATGTTTATGGATTAGATCAGAAAGAATACATGGTTCTAGTTCATTTGAGTAAACTGAAGTCTGATAGAGCTACGATTCACCTTCTCATGGTGGAAAGTGATCATTCTTCAGACTATCTTAATCATAATACTGATAGCAATAGTGAGGATGCTAATGAGGATGATTTTGAACATAATGATAGTTTTTCAAAATTAACTTACCATTTCGCATGGATACGGAATTTATCTCGACTGGTTAGTAAGCAGATATCAAACCATCAACACCACTTATGGTTGTGATCGATGTCTGAATCATTTCACATCGGCAACTTAAATTATCAGCAATCTCTTATTCTACCGGTTGTTTTTCATCACTTATCGGGTTATGATCTCATTTTATTATTGAGAAATTAGCAACACTTTTCGAGGTTTCAATAAATCTCTTGCCAATTAATAAGGAACGTTATATTTCTTTCACCAAAGAATTTGATGGAATCAATATAAAATTAAGATTCATCGACTTATTCAGATTTATGGCGAGCAGTCTGGGCAAATTATCATCATATTTGAGTGATGACAAGCAACAAATAACAAGAAAAATTTGCAACCTTAATGAAGAAAAATTCAGACTATTGATACGTAAAGGAGTTTTTCCATATGAGTACATCAATATTTGGATCAAGCTGGATGAAGATCAGTTGCCCGAAAAAGAGGAGTTTTACTCTCAATTGAATGATCAAGGAGTTTCGGATGACGATTACAAGTATTACATGTAGAGAATGTTTGGCGGACTTTTAATCTTCAAACCTTAGGAGAATATTCAGATCTTTATCTTCAAACCGATGTTTTACTGATAGCTGATGTGTTTCAGAATTTTCGGAACACCAGCTTAACGGTGTATAACTTGCGACGTAATTTTGGGAGGTTCACGGAACCCTCCGTCCATCAGCCCGCCCTCTGGCATCAAAACCCCAACAGAAAATCAGAAATAAAAAAAAAATTGTTAGGCGCCAGGTCAATTTTAAAACGGAATGACCGCCGTATCAAAATCCTCCGCTTTCAGCCTCAATTGCTCCAGTAGCTCGACAGGGGATGCAACTGGGATTCTTAATAAAATAAATAAAATAAATAATTGTCGGGGAGAACAATATTTTTATTAAAGAAAATCAGTCTCAATACAAAAAAAAATGAATAAATAAAAATCCCCTTAAATCGATTACGTGTTACTGCGCACACTATACTATTTTTAATTAGTCACTGTCGTCAAATTATCACTAAATCAAGATTTTTTGAAGTCTAATAAATGAAAAAAAATAAATAAATAAATAAGTAATCGTAAAATAGTAAAATGAGTCAAAATAAAAAAAAGTGTCAAACAACTGAGTCACGAGACTCGAGTTGTTATTATCAATGAAACTAAAAAAAATTAACGGAAAACAACTGAGTTACGAAACTCAATTGTTAGCAGTCGGAAAAGTCACAAATTTTATCAGAAATACTTTACAAGAAATTGTCACTTTAATTCAATGACTCGAAACAGTAACGCGAAAAATCGATAGGTCTCCGTGACTTCGAACACTCAAAAATACACGAAGAAATACAAGACTGGAGACAAATACTCCAAAAGTCACGAGACTTTGAGACTAAGTAAGTTAAAATAAATCCAATGGCGAGGTTCTTATAAATTTCACAAATTTATCTAACAAATGTCGCGAAACTAACCAAAAATCATAAATAACAAAATTCAAAAATAAAATCAATCTGAATAATTAAGTTGAACGAGAGAGAGAGAGCCAAAAATAATCACTGATTAAAGTGGTCAGAGATTCCCTGATAGAAACGATTCTCGTATAGTCCTGCAGGACTCGGATGTCCGAGACATCAAAAATAAATTGACCATCGAATCTCTGCCCAATAACAAAATATTTTCAATAAAAGAACGGCCACCACGCTCACCCAAATCTCTTAATGATTCTCCAAAATGTTGAGAATCCACAAAAACGTCGGAATGGCGTCCTTTAACGTCAATTAGCGTCCTTCATCAGTCAAAACTGTCACAGGTCCGCTCCAGATAACCATCAAACGAGAAGTGATTTTCGCAGGGCACGTGAAAATTGGCAACAGGTAGGTAACGCGGTAATATCAGATGATTGGGGGGTGACAACGTTATCATCCACCAATCCCAATTAATCGGGCATGTGCGACAGATATAAATTACTTCAAACGCATGCGCTCTTAAATTCGCGATGCTTAATAATAATTAACTGTTCTTAATTATTGAAAATAAATTCTCAGCGCTTCCTTAATATCTTAACATTAAATCCTGCGTTATTCGCTACCATAGGAGAGATAAGTCTCTCACAACAGAACTGATAATAAAATATCCGCTGATCTTCAATCAGCCACGTGTGTCCATTACTGCGTCACTTCCGATGTTAGGATGACTGCATTGTGGCTCTATTATCGGCCACATCCAAAATCCAGTCGATTATCAAAATTCAAATAACCTGACGACATCTCTCGGCTTCCTGAAGATCCTCGACGATGTCCTCAGATTGAACGCGGTGGCTCGTAATTTAATTCAAAAATAAAACAAAATAAAATTAAAACATATTCTCCTCTCTTCTCATTACCTCTCCCCATTGAAGGTGACTTCCCGTCTGGTGGAAGTCTCTAAAATCGCGAAACGGCCGAGAACCAGTAACTGGCAAAAATACCAAGTTACAA